GAGGAGGAGGAGGAAGATGAGGAGGAGGAGGAGGAAGAGGAGGGGGGGGGGGAAACAGAAGGAATTCGGAAGCTGGGCCTGGGGAGACAGCTCAGTAAAGTGCATGCCACAGTAGAATGAGGACATAGATTCAGATTCCTAGGACATAACTACAACTCCAGTGCTGAGGAGGTGAGGAGGTCCCCAGGACTAAGTTTCCACCTAGCCAGAAGAGTGAGCCCCAAGTTTAGTGAGAGACCCTGTCTCAAAAATAAGGTAGAGGGCAATTGAGGAAGACAAGTGATACAAACCTCTGTCCCTCACACATGCGCAACCACATACATGTGCACATACACATACACCACACACAACAATTGTTTATTTTTAAGTTGAAATTTGAAAGACAAGTACATAATGTAAAAAACACCATGTTCAATAGCAACTCTGGGAGAAAAAGCTTTATTTCATCTTACAACTCCCAGGTCACAGTCGCTCACTGAGGTGATGGGGAATGTTGTTCTGTGTATATGTTTATTTTATTGGCTGATGAATAAAACGCTGTTGGTCAATAGGGCAGCAAGAAGGTGGAACTAGGATATGAGGAGGATTTTGGGAAATGTAGGCAGAAAGGAATCATCATGTGATCCCAGGAAATAACATAACTGGGCAGAAACTGCCACTAGCTAACCATAGAGGTCTGGAGGTCTATACAGACAGGCAGGAAGTGACATACCTGGGTAGAATCAGAGTATAAGCAAGGACACACAGGAAATCGCTCTCTTCTCTGCGGACACGATGAGTCAGTCACCATGTAAGACACAAGACGAGTAACAGGTCTGGAACCTTCTCCTATAAGAGACCACCATGTGGAAACACTTGGATTTATAGAAAATGGGTTAATAATTAAGCCAAGCTAGCCAATAAGGAACCATAGTCACTGGCCAACAGTTTCATAATTATTATAGCATCCATGGGCTTCTTTGGGACAGAGAGGGGCAGTAGGAGCTAGCTGGACCAAGAAAACTCACTTTACACTGAGGGAAGTCAGGATAGGAACTGAAGGCAGGAACCAAAGCAGGGACCTTGGAGAGCAGGGACCTTGGAGAAGTATAACGTACTGCTGGCTTTTTCATGACTTGTTCGGCCTGCTTTCCTATAACCCAGGACCACCTGTGCACAGTGGGCTGGCCTCCCACCTTAATTATCAATGGAGAAAATGTCCTACAGGTCAATCTGATGGAGGTGATCCCTCATCTGAGATTCCCTCTTCCCAAGGGACTCTAGTTTCATCAAGGTGACACAAACTAGCACAGGTCCTCAGTGTCAAATGCTACAGGGAAGTTAGAATGAAGCATGAACATTAGCTAGTGTCCTATTGCCTCTCAGAGGGTAATGCCAAAAATAAATCATCTGTACAGAGCACTATGACTTGTCGTCACTTAGTGGAACCCACAGTCTTACTCATCTTCACACCCATTCACACACCTAGAAACTTCCAGAAGTGAGTCTATGCAATTGGGCTAAAAGTGAGTGCACACCCTAGCTGGAAGAAAATGAGAACTGACAGCCAGGGACAGTGGTAGTTTTCATGGCACGAGCTCAGGAAGTTTCATCTTAAGAGGTTTGTTGACTGAGTAATTGCTGTTTCTATTGCTGTGGTAAAACACGGTGACCAAACAGGGCGGTGGTGGCACATGCCCCTAATCCCAGCACTCGGGAGACAGAGGCAGGTGGATCTCTGTGAGCTGGAGGCTAGCCTGGTCTACAGAGTGAGTTCCAGGACAGCCTCTAAAACAATACAGAGAAACCCTGTCTCAAAAAACAAACAAGAACACCTTTAGCTTTGGATTCTCTTTCTTTCTTCTTTCCTTCCTTCCTTCCTTCCTTTCTTCCTTCCTTCCTTTCTCCTTTCTTTTCCCTTCTTTGTTTTTGGCAACATCTCGCTCTGTATCCCAGGCTCTGTATCCCAGGCTGGCCTACACTTCACTCTGTAGCCCAGGCTAGCCATGAACTCATCCTCTTCCTGTCTCAGCTTTCAGAGTGCTAGGATTAGACATATGAGACACTATGCTAGGCAGAGCTATCTTCACTAGTAGAATAAGTAGGAGCATAACTCTAGAATCAGACCATTCTCGATCTCAAATCTTGGGTTACTCTCATTGTGTACCCTCTCAAGTTCCTCACAGTATCTAACAATACAAGGTAACCAGAGTGTCCACTTGATAAGATTATTGTAACTCAATTGAGATAATATGGTCAAATTGTACTTAGAACAGGCTAGCAAGTTATTAATGATTGTTAGCTGTGATTGATTATTAAATGCCTTACCAGAAAGGTTTTATATTTTGCCAGAATCGAATCTTATAAGCACTGAAAAAAGCATTGGTTTTGATTGTTGGTATTTTGGAGACAGTATCTTAGGCCAAGATGGCCTCAAATGTATTACATAGCTAAAACTCGCCTTGGGCTCTTGATTTTCCCGCCTTCACCTCCCAAGTGCTGGGATTATATGCATGGATTATATGCATGTACTAGCTAAAATAACAACAACAACAACAATAGTTTTCAATTACACTGTGAGCGCGCCATTTAAATCATAATATGAGGGCAGTGGTGTTTGTTGACAGAAAAAGCAGCTCCCACCTATGAGAGAGATCTGAGGCATCACTCCCTCCCAGCTCTGCCTGCACAAACAGCCTCTCTCAATTTCAGCTATCTTCATAAACTTGGCCATGGGAACCAGTCAGTATCCAGCTGTGGGTAAGGAGCCAGAGACCTTGGCAGTGGCCCCTGGCTAAAGCTCTGGTACCAAGCAGGCATCAGGCCTTTCTGTACCCCACTTTGGGCACAGGAGGGTTATAGTGGAGATTGAGGGGTTATAGTGGAGATACAAAACATCATTAGATAGTAAGACCACAACAAAGCCACTCTCTCCACAGCCCAGTGTCCTCGCTGGACAGACATTGGCTGCTGAGGATCCCAAATATGCATTCCTGGTTCCAAGATGGGACTCCCTATCAACACAATGCCCCTTCTGACAACTCTGGTTGCTAAGATAACATTCCCAGGTCTTAACGCTTTCCTTGTCCAGCTCCAGTCAGCAGAAGAATTACATTCTGGTTTGCAGGTTTGCCAGAAACAAAAGTAGCTTTCCAACTTCCCAAATTCGACTCCTAGTGGTCAACTGAGAGGATGCTTGCCACCACAGGAACCTCGTATGCTTGGGACTCCAGCTTGTGGCTGGTTGTGGACAGCTAACAGTCAAGCTGACACAGGTCAATGCAACTTAGACCTGGGCATGTTTCCAAAGTACAGGTGTATAGCTGGACGATTAGAGTGAGACCACTCCAGACTTCTGGTGGCAACCACAGTTAGGCTTTTGCTTTGGTTTGTTTTTTCAGTTAGGTCTCTGTAGACCAGGCTAGCCTTGAATTCATCAGCCTCCTTCCCCAGGGCTCCCTAGGGCTGGAATTTTAGGAACAGATACCATGTCTGGTCACAGCTGATAATTCTGAATGCTTTGCTGTTATTAGTATTATCATCACTATTATTATTGAGATGGGGTCTCGTGCAGCTCAGGCTGGTTTCCACAGCTAAAGCTGGCCTTGAACTGCTGATCTTCCCACCTCCACCTCCTAACTCAGTCTTCTGAGTACTGGGATTACCAGCATGTGTCACCAGGACCAATCCACTTTTGGGTTTTTAAGATGGCTTAAAAATTGCTTTCGTGAGAACACAGGAATCCCTATACGTAATTTGATTCAACAATTGAGTTTAAATGCATTCAGAGACAAACATGGGCCTAAGTAACTATGAGAAAATACAGAAGTTTTAGACTTGAGCCACTTACTCCAATAGAAAGGGAAGGACTAATTCACTACCATGGAAGAAATGAACTAAGCTGCTACATTCATCTTTATCTCTACCTATCTCTGTACATCTCTGTGCAACCTCACACGTGTGTGTGTGTGTGTGTGTGTGTGTGTGTGTGTGTGTGTGTGTGTAGCTTTGGAGCCTGCCCTGAAACTCGCTCTGTAGACCAGGCTGGCCTCTGTCTCCCAAGTGCTGGGATTAAAGTAAAGTCGTATGCCACCAATGTCCAGCCATGTACAACCTCTTTTTAAGACTTATTTTTATCTATGTGTATGTCTGTGTGAAGGTATACAGGTGACCACAGAGATCAGAAGAGGGAATTAAATCCCCTGAAGCTTGAGTTCCACATAGTCGAATCAACTAAATGGGTACAGGAACCAAACTTGGGTCCTCTAAAAGAACAGCAAATACCCTTAACCCCTGAGCTTCAGCCCCTGCACAACCTCTCTGTCTAACTTATTTTTCATACCAAGCTACTGAAGGAGAGATATAGAAGCTAACTGTCGGACCCAGTCTAGAGCAACCTCCATGCCACTCCTCGCTGCCACGTCTTTTACCTTTGACGTTTGCCCTATTGGAAATGACAGATCTCTAGGACAAACACACTGCTCACTACAGATCATTTCTTCTTTGTCTTTCCAAGATTTCTTTATTGTGTGTGTATGAACGTTTTGCCCACATATATGTATGTGTACCATGTGCATGGCTAGCACCCTCAGAAATCAGAAGATGACATCCCTGGAACTGGAGTTACAGATGGTTGTGAGCTACCATGTGGGTACTGGGAATCGAACCCTGGTCCTCTGCAAGAGTAACAAGTGCTCTTAATTGCTGAGTCATCTCTCTAGCCCCAAGGATTATGTCTTAATGGAACAGAGTGTCACTTTATTAAACCTTTTGAATACAGGCCAAATGAATTCCCTTTGCTGTGCGACAAAACAACCCAGAAGACTGTAAAGCCAAGAAAGAAACATTCCAACATTTAGAATAAGCATGGATTTTCCAAACCTGGCATCTCTCTCTCTCTCTCTCTCTCTCTCTCTCTCTCTCTCTCTCTCTCTCTCTCTCTCAGCAAACACTTTCAACCTGTTCGCTTACAGAAGAGAAAGCCCACTTCATAGTCCCGTGAAAGAAATAGACAATTTGTCTCTAGGATCAATTTTAATGAACGAACTTTAACTCCTCATGAAGCCTCCAATCTTCACCACATGCACACACATAAGAAAGTGAATGATCCTTCTGTATCAGGCTGTCTCTAATAATACAGCCAAACCATGAACTATTCAAACGCATTTTCAGGCTGTTGCTGTTGTTTTGTTTTTTAAATTAGGCCTCATTTTGTAGCTCAGGTACCCTGATCTCTCAGTCCTCTTTCACCATGCCCCGGATGGGTGCAGAGTTACTGCTATATCCAGCTATCGATAGAAAGTAGACAGCCTTCCACACTCGCATACAGCAGATGCTGATGGAAACTTCAGGACTTTAGTGTTTTGCTATACTCAAGATACTCCCATCTTGGTTTAAAGGGAACAGCTTGGTATTGGGGGACTATGATCCAGGACTATGATGCATGATGACACAAGGAAATGGCTTTAGCTGAATAAGGATGGTGTAAAATGTACTCCAGCATCCACACAAGGCAGTCTAGAAATGACACCAGTTTAAAAAAAAAAAGGTTGGCATGGTGGCACACTCCTTTAATCCTAGCACTCAGGAAGCAGGGACAGACACACCTCTGTGAGTTCGAGGCTAGCCTAGTCTACATAATGAGTTCCAGGACAGCCAGAGCTACATAGAGAGACACAGTATTGCCCCCCCCAAAATCAATGACAAATTAAACCAGGATATGGCCCAATTACAATTTATGGGAGAAGAAAACAAATATAGAACAGCTACCCCTCCCCCTCATGCCAAAATTACATTTTCTTGGACACATGGCCATCATTGGGAAGCATAGGGGTTATACAAATATTAACATTAAATAACTTAACAATACAGCCAAGGGTTTTTGGGTATGGTCCCAAAGACTTTCCAGCTTATTTTTAGGATAATTTAGGAAGACATTGAATAAATTAGAAGTACTTTCTTAAACATAGCTAACAGATTCTTACAACCCCCAAAGTAAAAAAGCAAAGTATCTCTACCATAACACAATCTTATAAGACATCAGGTTTCCAAGGTCCAAATGCTTCCTTCACACGTCTCTATTTACCCTCCTCTCCCCAAATTAAGTTACAGGTTTTCTATTCAAGTCCAGTGTTCTGTTCTGGCAAAGTACCTTCAGGACACATGGGAGTAATCATTCATATGTTCCACAATTCAAGACTCCATTTCCTAGTTTAAAAATCAGCTTAGCCTCTCTAATTAGCCCACCACCCATGCCATTTTACTCACAAGGATCGTGTAAAACACTAGAGGAAGGAGTCCCCTCTGAGGGAAAAAAATGACTCTTTAGAAATTCAAACTTAACCTCTTGAAAGAGCAGTAAGAGATTCCCATTCAGACACTTACTATTCTTATTATTTTCTAAATGTGGTGGTTAAATAAAATTAAATGTAAATAATAGGCAGTAATTAAATAACACATTTTAAATAAATAAAGTTATGTCGCCTGGAGTTTTCAGAGAACAGAGAAAGATGGCTTTTCTCGGTAAATTCACATTCGTTTCTGTACCAGTTTCTACAAGGACTGGGCAACAGCGCCCTCTAAAGGGCTGCAGTGTTCCACCCCCTATGTCAATGACCGAGGAACTGGCTTTACATGCACACAGCATAGTCTTTCTTTGGCTTCTGGGTCAGTCTGTTCTAGGCTTTCTGTGAGTGATTCTGAGGATTACAAAGGCACTGGAGAGGCGTTGAACAAGTTTATTGAAGGGAGTCCAGTTTGCCACCAGGGTTTTATAATCCTGGGTGGCCTAGCCAAGGATGACCCTGAACTCCTGGTCCCCCTGTCTCCATCTCCAAGTGCTAACCTGACAGGTATATACCACCACACCTGGCTATAAATGAATACTGCTTGCCATCCTTTTCTAACGCTGTGGAGCATTGGTATGATGGCCCTCATTCTAAATTAACAGGGGCGGGAAGAGAAGGGCGAGTCAGCTCCGAGGTCTAGTCTGCGGCTACAACCCTACGAAGGCAAGGGCGGGTCTTGCTCTGGATTCTGGAGTTCTGCGTATCAGAAACTGCAGAAGCAGAGTTGCAAAACAGACGTCTCCTCTGACCAACCTTTTGAGAGTCCCAGAATTCTAGTAAGAACTTAAAGAGGTCCCAGAGAGGGACACCTCTCCAGACCTCCACTCAAACCATCAAAGTCCACCCCGCAATAAGGGAGTGCAGCCCAGCTGTGTGCTGTTTAAAAAGATTTTTGCCCCCCTCCCCAAGTGAGTGATTAGGGTCACATACTCCATTGGGATTACACAAGTGAAAAAGTCCTCGACTCACAAGGAGTGGAGGACCCACACCTACAGAACAGTTTTCTGTCTTTTACCCCTCCACCTGTGTGGCACTTCCCCGTGGATGCTAGAGATCTAGAGCATCCCACGAGTGTAAGGGATGTTCTTAGAAAAACAACGCTGCATCCTGATCAGCTGAGATGCTGAGGCCGCGACCATGGCCGGCCTTGGTGCAGAACTGGACCCGGGACTCCAGCTGCTCACTAAGTTCATCCAGAGCACCGGTGCAGGACTCCAGGCTCTCGGACAGTTTCTGAATCTTGGCCTTCAGCACGGCCTGGCTGACTTTGGTGGCCCCCTCGGCACGCCTGGGGATGAGGAAGCCGCGTGAGCCGAAGAAGACGATGAAGTACACAGAGTTGTAAAGGGCCATGGAGGCGTCCCTCCCGCTCTGCAGCAGCTGGCGGTCCCCGCGGCCCTGCCACTGACAGAAGAACTCCAGGCAGCTCAGGAGCTCGCGCATCTGGTCCTGGCAGGTGGCGGCGATCTCCTGCACCCTCCGCACCTCCCGGGAATTGCAGAAGATCAGAGAGAGGTCCGACGTGATGGTGACTGCCCCTCCGGCGGTGGCCACCCCTAGGCCCACGGCCGACGCCACGAGCGAGGCCCCCAGGGTGACAGGGCTGAGTGACAGCCCCACGATGGCCGCCACCGCGCCCGCGGCGCTCAGAGAGCTGCCAGCCACGTTGGCCGCCAGGGAGCGCCTGCGGAGACGCTCGAGCCTCCGGGCCACCTCGCGCAGGCGCAGCACTTGGCCGTGCAGCCGGCCGCGGCGGTCCAGCAGCAGCCCTTGGAAGCGACGCAGCGCATCCACGCCCTGCGGCTCCCAGGCCGCCAGCCTCTCCATGCCCTGTGGGGACACAGACACGCAGTTAGCCCCGGAGTCTCCGTGCCCTCCGCTGCCCCATCCTAGAGCTGGTCGGTGCACAAGAGGGAGTCTTCAAAGATTAAATAGACCTAAGGCTGGAGGTGTCTTAATGGTAGATCACTTACTTGCCTAGCATTCAACCCCTACGTTTAATCCCCAACGCCGCAGAAATAAACACTTGAATAAATGATGAAATATCCGTTGCTACCAGTCAGGGTGGGGTCGGTACGTTACCACCCAGTGGGTCATGTGTCAAGTTTTCAAAGGCCAGCTGTGGAGTCTGGGACAAGTTTAACTGCACTCATGCAAACAGAGAGAGATTAAGCTGCCTTCTGCTTTTTCTCCCAGGGAACAGAATCTATGGACTTCATACTCTCGTTAAATAAGATTTCAGCGTGAAGGTGGAGACTATTAGAAGGCTCTGTCTTCAAGATGCCCCTTGGGCTGAAGGTGTAGCTCAATGGTAGAGTCACTGCCCGGCATGTGCAAAGTTCTGGATATGACACCCCCATCCTATCTCCCCTCCTCCAACCCTGGCAACCAAGAAAAAGAAGAAAACACTTCACAAGTAGCAAACTTGTTAACAAAAACTTTTCATACGTGGGGACCTGAGACCTAGGGACTTGGGGTACATCAGTTTCTTGTGCTCTCTCTCTCTCTCCCTTCTCTCTCTCTCTCTTTCTCTCTCCTCTCTCTCTCTCTCCTTCCCTCCCTCCCTCCCTCCCTCCCTCCCTGTAATCCCAGCCCTTGGGAAGCAGAGGATCATTGATAGTTCAAGGCCAACCTGATCTAAATATTGAGCTCTAGGCTATCCAAGGCTACATACAAGAGCCTGTCTCAAGACAAAGAGAGAGGGGTAGAGGAGAGAGCAACTCTCTGGAGGCTTCCTTGGTTCAGTTGGGTCCTCCTTCCCTCCTGCCATCCCTCCTCTTCTCCCTCCACACACATAACCAAAACCTCAAAAACTGTATCATCTATCAAACTAAAGATACTATTCTTTCTAGCAAGGCTAGCCTGAGCCACATAGTGAATTCAGGGTTAGCCTGGGTTATATGGGGAAACCTTGTCTCAAAACGGGGGTGTAGAAAGGTTAGGGCAAAGGGGTGTGGATGAAGGAGAGGAGAAGCCACAAAAAACATGTTTGAAAATGCCAAAACAAACCTTAATACTGTGTTGATTTAAATAAATACGTTATCTTTCTAAGTTAGCTGTTTTTCTGAAGCAACTCTCTTCTGCCAGACTTTATGTTTTTAATCAGTTCTAAGATATAATTTTCTTATTTATTCTAACTCAGGACCCTAAGGTTCTCAGACATCTTGATCTTTGGTGAAACTTAATTAAAACTAAATTAGATCCAGTTAATACTATGTCTCTTCATTACAAAAGTGTCATGAAAAGAAAGACTAGCCAATGGACTAAAATAAAGAGCCAAGTACCTTGTGGTGACACACATCTCTAACCCCAGTACTTGGGAGACAGAAGCCACCAGGTCCTTGAGAGGCCAACCTGGTCTAAATATTGAGCTCTAGGCCATCCAAGGCTACATAAAAAGTGCCTGTCTCAAAGCAAAGCAGGAAGGGGGTAAGGGGAATAGCAACTCCCTGAAGTCTTCCTTGGGCCAAGTCAAATTAAAGCCAATAAAAGGTAACTAATAGAGAAAGCTGGACATACCAGGGTAAAAGTTCATCTGTCCTGGTTGCCAGAGACCCCCATTTTCATACTCACTAGACTTTCTGCCATTCAGAATGTCTTAACAGTGTCAAATTGGTCACAGAAAGGGCATGTCAAAACTAAAATATCAGGACAGAAGTTACCAAATATTTTGATATCTCTCCATTTGTTGTTGTTTTTAAAGACAGGATTTATACAGTCCAAGTTAGCCTCAAACCCCTGATCCTCCAACTTCCACCTCCTGAGTGCTAGGATCCCAGGCTTGCCTCCGCTGGACTTGCACAGCCAGAACTCAGTTAGGATGGAGGATTTTAGAGACAGGCTGCGGATCCAGCTCATGCTTCCCAGGGCCCTGGGAAGAGCCCTGGTCTCCTGACTCAGGGGTCCTTGTTGACCTCCATGAGCCATCTGGCCAGTAAGAAGTTTTCAGGTAAAAAGAAACGAAGGGGCAAAAGTCGCTCCAAAAGAGTTGACCCCCATGTCACCAGTCCATTACAGACACATCCCCTTGAACTCCCCACTTACCCTTCACTCTGGACTCCAGGAAGAAGAGTAGGAGGCCGTTTCTGGATGAGCGTGCTTTATAGTCCCTGGGAACCAATGACCGCTCTGGGAAAGCCTTGTTTCATTCTGAGAAGCTGCCATTTCCTGCCCTGACCCCTGGTGCCTTCAACCAGGAAATGACATGTTGGAAAATGAACCGCTAGCAAAGCACACCCCGTGTTTAGGAAATGAACATTGTGTGTTCGCTTTCCCCTCCAAACGCAGGAAGAGAACCACAGGCTCTTCCCCAACTTGAAACAAGTGCTGTCATCTCCCAGGGGGGATACCCTGCCTTTCCTCTCCTGAGAATAGCTACTGACGCCATCGGCAGGCTTTCCCACATGCCCCAGGCTGCCCAATTATAGTATGTCTTTGAGAAGACTCCATCAGAGAATCATTTTTTAAAAAAGAAATAGGAGGGACTGGAGAACTCAAACTACAATTGATAGAGTCACTCATGGTTCATTTCAAAGAGCTTTGTGACTCTATGAGTAGCTGAAACATGTGACCCACTTAAGAAAGGCTGCCAGTACCGAGGAGTGCCTAAGAATCCAAGGCCACACCCACAGGAAGTGCTGCGTGCAGTTTGGGGCATCTCCAGCTGTGGAGAAGACACAGGAGGTCTCAGAAAGGGCACACACGAAGGCCAAGTGCGTCAGAAAAATCACTGGGGTCAAGCTGCACACCGATCTAATTATACACTTTCCATGCAGCGGAGAGACGATGGCTTCCGGGGTTTTCATCCGAAGCACGGACGGTAGCTCACATGACAGTTCAATAAGTGGATTCTATCTGCAGGCTCCGCAGCAAGGCCTAAAGGGCAGTTATCTGTTATAGATAATGTGGGCAGGAAAATGAAGGCATCTCCTGTGCGTTTGCCCAGCACCAGATTGTGGAGATACACCATATCTATCCCTGAAGCAGTCAGAGGTGGGTGGACCTTAACCGGGAAACTAGTCATAAGGCGGGGGGCCCCAATACAGGATCCTTTGTCTGACACTGTCGATTTCAGATTAGGAAGGCCAAACTGGTTTTCACTTAATGACTCATGTCTCCGGCTGGGGTTATAGTGGATTGGCTGGAGTTGTAATGTATTAGCGTGCAGGGGCCCCTGGATTTTACTACCCGCACCTCATAAACTCATCGTGGTGGCCCACACCTGTAATCCCAGCACCAGAAGGTAAAAGCATGAGGGTTAGACATTCAGGATCACCCTCAGATACATAACTAGTTGGAATCCAGCCTGGGCTATGTGAGACCCTGCTTCCAAAAAAAAATCCCAAAACCTTCCTGGTTCCTGAAGTCTTTGGTTTTGTTTCTGTGAAGTGGGGTCCCACTATGGAGCCCTGGCTGGTCTAGAACTCATTAAGTAGACCAGGTTGTCGTTAAACTTGTGTTGATCCTCTTGCTTCTGCCTCATTCGGAAAATTTCAATAGCTCTATCATAGAGGAACAAGTTTAAGCCCCTTGCTTTCATGTCAACAATCTGTGTCAGAGCAATGCCCCTTGTTTTTACCCTCTGCTGCTCTTGAACTTGATCAGTGTGAATCTAGTCCATGTCCGAGCATTCTTGTTATAGCTCCTAACAGAGTAAACATAACCTCAAGAGAGGTGACCTCAGTGTCTGCTTGTATTTTTGAAATAAGAGGCAGGACGGCTGGGCATGGCGGCACAAGCCTGTAATCCCAGCACCAGGAAATCTGAAACATCATAGTTGCTAAGAATTCAAGGTCAGCCCAGGCTGTAGAGTGGAACTCAGAAGCACTGGGGACCTGAGTCCAAGCCTCAGAAGCAAATGTCACCGGCAGCCTGCTTCATGAGCTCTGTCTCCTCCAACAGCAAGTTGTTCCCTTGCCTACACACACACACACACACACACACACACACACACACACACACACACACACGCACGCACACGCACACACACGCGCACACACGCACACACACGCACACACACGCGCGCACACACGCGCACACACACGCGCACACACACGCACGCACACACGCACACACACGGTGGGGGGAGGCTCGTTTTCCTGTTAGCCCCATTGCTTTGGGCAGCACCTCAGGGCAGGGGTGTGCTCAGACCTTGGAAAAGCAAACCACAGAGGATAAAGAGGAGCTGGGGTCCTATGATAATCGCCTTCGATGGCGTGTCCCCACACACACCAGACAAGCACAGCCCTCTCATTAGACCCAGCCCCTAAAAGCTCCACCCCCCTGCAACAGTGCCATGCTGGAGACCATGGACCTTTAACTCAGGGGCCATAGAAAATCAGCTATGCAGTGAGGCCCCATCAGACTGGCCTACACAGAGTTCCAGGCCAGCTTTAGGCTGTGATATGTGATCCTGCCTCAAAGAACCAAGAAGAGGAGGAGGAAGAGGAGAAAAATAAAGGGTTCTAGAAGCAGCTGGGCATGCCTTTAATCCCAGAGGACTCAGGAGGCTGAAGCAAGTGGATCTCTATGAGTTTGAGGCCGGCCTGTTCTGCGTATCAAGTACTAGGCCTGATAGCACAACACACACTCTCTCTCTCTCTCTCTCTCTCTCTCTCTCTCTCTCTCTCTCTCTCTCTCTCTCTCTCTCTCTCACACACACACACACACACACACACACACTTTGCCCATACACATAAATTCATCCTGGTTAGGTTTTTGTCAACTTGACACCACACAGGCTCGTCTGGGAAGAAGGAACTCAGACGGTGGGTGGGGCACTGTCTTGTGTAGTGATTGATGGAGAAGGCTCAGCTCACTGTGAGTGGGTACCATTCCTGTTCAGGTTCCTGGTCCTGGAGTGCATAAGAAAGAAATGTGGCAAGCAGGGGAGCCAGTGAACCTCATTCCTGTGTGGCTACTGCATCGACTGCTGCCTTGAGTTCCTGCCCGGACATCCCTGGGTAGCAGAGGACAAGAGGCTAGAAACCCGGTCCCCTTTATTGTCTTTGGTCATGGTATTGCATCATAGCAATAGAAACTCTAACTAAGACATTCATATACACACAAGCACACACACAAAATAGAAACCCTAACTAAGACAGTCACATACACACAAGCACACACACAAAATAGAAACCCTAACTAAGACAGTCATATACACACAAGCACACACACAAAATAGAAACCCTAACTAAGACAGTCATATACACACAAGCACACACACAAAATAGAAACCCTAACTAAGACAGTCACATACACACAAGCACACACACAAAATAGAGTGCTGGAACACATCTGTAGTTGTGCACTCAGGAGGCAGAGGCAGAAGAATATCAAATCTGAGACCATTCTGGTTTCATAGTTAAGATCTGGGTAGAGTGGGGGAAGAAGACAAAGATGAAAATGGAGAAGAAGGAGGAGGAGGAGGATGAGGAGGGGATGAGACAAAGATGAAAATGAAGAAGGAGGAGGAGGAGGAAGAGGAGGGGATATGGCTATTTTCGTAACAATGTTAACGAGAAGTTGACTTAAATATCTCTTTGGAATATGCTACCTGGTAGATAACATAGAGTACTTATTTTAAAGGCTTTTTTTTATATTGTGTGTGTGTTTGTCTGTGTCTTTACAGGTCTGTGCATATGAGTACAGCACCTTTGGAATCCAGAAGACGTCAGATCCCCCTGGAACTGGAGTTACAGGCTGTTGTGAAGCAGATGCTAGGTACCAAACCCAGGTCCTCTGCAAGAGCAACATATACACCTGAGCACTGAGTTGTCTCTCCTCACCCCCTGAAAACAGATGTGGGTTTAAAAAAAAAAAAAGGATTTATTTATTATTTATACAGTGTTCTGCCTGCAGGTTTGCCTGCAGGCCAGAAGAGGGCACCAGATCTCATCATAGATGGTTGTGAGCCACCATGTGGATGTTGGGAATTGAACTCAGGACCTCTGGAAGAGCCAGTACTCTTAATCTCTGAGCCATCTCTCCAGCCCAGTGATGTTTTATTTTGTTGTTGTTTTCTAAGACAGGGACTCACTATGTAGCCCTGTCTGGTTTCAGACAGAGATCTGCCTGCCCCTGCCCCTGCCTCTATTGGGACTAAAGATGTAAGGTACAATGTCCAACGTTTGCTTTGTTTTTCCGAGTCCAGGTCTCAAGCAACTCAGGCCAGGCTCAAACTTACTGTATAGCAGAGGATAGCCTTGAAATCCTGATCCTCCTGCTTCTACCTCCTAAATGCTCGGATTCCACGCCTGTGCCGTCACACCTCCTTCTGCACAATAATACTTCAGGGTAGGTGGATTTCATGAGATCGCAACTGTTGCTGTCATAAAGGGATGGAATCTTACAGGTCCCAAAACACCCAGAGAACTGAACTGCAGTCATTTTCATTTTTTCCATACTGGCCTCTGATCTTTATTACTGTGCACACACACATCCTTAAATGCTAGTGTGGGTTCTTTTTTCCACTTAACGTTCCTGCCAGTACATAACTCTCCATGTTGACAGTTCTCACCTCTGTCATTTTTAATAGCTATATAATAATCCCATTGTTTGCTCAGTCACTTCCCTGTTAGACACTTGAACTGCTTCCAGCTTTTCACTGTTATAACTACAGTTGCCAGGACATCTGTGTACATTTTCCTCTTTGAATTTTTTTTTCATCTAGGGGAGTATTCACAAAGGGGAAAGCCGGGAGGGAGGGTGGATGTCCGTCACATGTTACTGTATTTCTGTTCAAAAGAGCCAATCACTGTGTGATCTGCCTTGCAACGGGAGGCTTTGACAACTCACAATTTTCTTTTGTTGATGTTTGATCTGGTTTATTTCAACTCCTCTAATGTGGATAGAGCACCCCCTGTAGGCCAGACATAATTCTAGATTCTGCGCTTGAAATGTTAAGTAAGATATGGCCCCTGCTTTCTTTTCTAAGAGACAGACACAAACCAGATCATTACAATTTGGCATGAAAAGTACCAGAGATGTGTGCAGGAGAAAAATAAAATAAAAATAAAACAAAAAACCCATGGAAAAAGTGGGCACTGTCTAGAAGCTCTGGTATAGAGCTGAGCCTGGACAAAAAGTAGTTGGAGGAGGGGACCAGCTCCTGGAGGAAAAGACAGCAGAGGAGTGCCCAGGGCATTACAGGTGTTAAATCCTGCTGAGCATAGAGGCGGAGCTGGGAACGCAAAGGGAATGGAGTTGATGGTCTCAACAGAAGCCAGGTTGTGATGCCTTGCTGGATGAAAAGTCACCAAAGGTGCCTCAGCTGTGGCCTTGAGTTGCCTTTGACATCTTTGTCAACTGTGTGGACATAACTAAAAGCCAGAAGGCAAGCTAAAAGCGTCTTGACTGTTGAAGCAGCTGGGACAGACTCTCTGGATTGGATAGCGCTGATAAGATGCAGCAGAAAGGACAAAGGACCTGGCATGTGTTAGGTCAGATGTGGTGGCAGACACTTGTTGTCCCAGTACTTGAGAGAGGTGGAGGCAGATGGACTGGGAGTTTGAAATCTTCCTCAAGATACACACATGCGCAGGCATGCACATGCGTGTGCATGCACACACACACACACACACACATGCACACACATGAATGCAAAGTTGACTACCCGGGACTGGGAGTGGAATTCAGTGGGTACAGCGCTTGCCTAGCATGCACGAGGCCCTGGATTCTACCCCAGCACCGTACGCACTGGCCTTGATGCACACCTGCAATTCCAGCAATGGGGAGTAAGGAGGATCAGCAGTTCAAGGCCAGCACTCGTTATACAGTGGATTTGAGGCCAGCTTGGGATAC